AAATTGAAAAGAATTAAACTTATTAAATTTTCCAGAGATTAGTTTTCAGGAAAATTAAATTCCGTAGCGGTGACGGAACGCGGAGCGCGAACCCCGCGACAGAAATCCGAGTATGGCGAGTGACTGCCCGCGGTGCCGCAGGTGGTGTCCGCGGTCACGGCCTCGCTGCGCTTCGAGGGCTGCCTCAACGTGGACCTGGTGGAGTTCCAGACCAACCTGGTCCCGTACCCGCGCCTGCACTTCCCACTCATCACCTACGCGCCCTTCGTGTCGGCGGGCAAGGCCTACCACGAGGCGCTGTCCGTCGGCCAGCTCACGTCGGCCTGCTTCGAGCCCACCAACCAGATGGTCCGCTGCAGCCCAGTCGACGGCAAGTACATGGCGTGCTGCCTGCTGTACCGCGGCGACGTCACGCCCACCGACGTCAACAGCGCCGTGCAGGCCATCAAGAGCAAGAAGTCCATCCGCTTCGTGGACTGGTGTCCGACGGGCTTCAAGGTTCGGCGGAGCCCCGCGGAAACAGCCGAGCACCGGCTCAGATAGCTCGGACCGCGCGGGCTTTTTGAATAACGACGGTCTTTGGTCCTCTCCAGATCGGCATCAACTACCAGCCGCCCACCACGGTGCCGGGCGCCGACCTGGCGCCGGTCATCCGGGCCGTCACCATGCTGTCCAACTCCACGGCCATCAGGGTGGCGTGGGAGAAGCTCAACAGGAAGTTCGACCTGATGCACCGGAAGCGCGCTTTCGTGCACTGGTAGGGCACGCATTTGAACCATGCCTTGAGAGAGATTTACGCAAATGCCAGTTTACTTTTATTTACAAAAAAATAACAAACAACAACATGTAGGCTTTATGGAGATGCCCCCCTCCGCAGGTACGTCGGGGAGGGGATGGAGGAGGGCGAGTTCCAGGACGCCCGCGACGACCTGGCCGCCCTGGAGCAGGACTACGCCGCGGTGGAGGAGTAGTTGCCACGCCTGTGTCGCGCACAGCTTCCGAACCAAATAAAAAAAGATCACTTTGGCTCGGCGCCGTCCAGTTTGAGCACGTCCCTCATCCACTGCAGGTGGTCGGAGAAGGTGACGTTGGTAAAGGTGTAGTCGTTGGTGCCCTGCCGCAGGGACACCACCCCCTGCAGGTACCAGATCCCGTCCCTCTCGACCACGGCGCCGCCCCCGCTGTCCCCCCTGGCCAGGTGTTGGTCCGCCTCTGAAATTTAGAGAACAGCGGCGTTTTCACACTCGAAATAATGGCGTCTCAAGTATGTAGCCCGAGCTCAAACCGGATTATTTCAAACTTTTCGCGCGCAAAACTCACCGCTCTCGATGATGGAGCAGAACTTGTCGGCCGTGACGTACTTGATGAGCTGGTCCGAGGCGCGGCGGTAGCACGTCTTGGTGGGCAGGTAGGGCATGTTGACGTACTCGAGGAGGTCGAGCGCGCTGGGCGAGTCGTCGCCCCAGCCGGCCACGCGCAGCTGCTCGTCCTGGACCAGCGTCAGCCCCGGGTCCACGCACACGGTGGCCACGTTGGGCCCCGGCGGCACCGGGTCCTGCAGCTCCACGACGGCGATGTCGCCGACGTAGTTGCTGACGGTGCCGCGGTACGCGTCCGGGATGTAGACGGCCGACACCTTGCTCTTGTGCACGCGCCCGGTCTCCTTGGCGTCCCAGCCGCTGCGGATCTTGCCCAGGGCGACGGCGTAGCGCTCGGCGGGCAGCAGCTTGTTGAGGTTGTTGTCGTAAAAGCAGTGGGCGGCTGCGAAAACATGAGTAAAAGTGGAAAATTTGGTAAAAAAAAGTGGAAAAGTGTAAAAAGTGGGAAAATGTGTGAGCAGTGCAACAGAGTAAAAGGAATATTTT